TCTCCTACCTCTTTTGTCTTTAACTCACTATTATTTTGTAGATAATAATATGTAAAACGATAACCATTGATAATTTCCTACCATTTTGTCTGTAATTTGCTATGTCCCCCCTATTATTATGTTATCCTTCTTTTATTCTTTAAAATAAAAAATAAAAATTAAAAAAAAAAACTTTGCTGAATACATACAGATCTGTTGTATATAAAAGTCTGTTGATTTGATTAAAGCAACTAGGTTGTAAAAAATTACATTAATCATTAATTAGAGTGTCAGAACATTAGGTTCCTACTCTCACGAAGTTACTTACTTGGCTTTGCAGATGTCATTTAATTCATCAGAGTAACACATATTTGTCCCTTGGATGACTTTTCTATGTATATTTCCTTCTTAGGTGATTTGATCCTGTCCAGTGGTTTAAAGTACTATCTGTACATTATGGTTATTAAAACCTATACACTGATGGTTGTTAAATCTATACATTGATAGTTTCTATCCTGAAACGATTCTTTGAACTCCATGCACACATATACAAATCTTTGCACATAGTTTCCACCTGTACACCTCAAAAGAATCTCAAACAGAACTCTTGCTGTTTTTCCAGTTGAAGCTGCACTACTCTCAACTTATTCCCCAATTTATTAATTCCCCAATTTCCCCAATTTATTAATGACACTACCATGTTTCCACCTCATCCTTTGACTGTTTTTAATCTCTACCTTCAAGATCAACCTCATTAGTCTAAGTCACCAGCCACTACCCCTTGCCTGGACAGTTGCATTTTTCTAATCCCTCACTTCTACCCTCCTGCTGATTTCGTACCGAAACAAGATTAATCTCTTAAAATTAGATCATATTACCCTTCCACTTAATGGTTTCTTATCGAACTATCAAAACACAGCTCCTTAGTGATTGACAAGGATGTACACAGTGTAGTTCCTGCATTTCTTACCATTTTCCCTTTAATTTACTGGTCACCAGCCTCATTCCTGCCATTGTCCTCAAACACAGTGGGCATGCATCTATCTTATAACTGTAAGACTTGCTGTGCGGTCTTTCTGAAAAGGTTTCCTACCAGATACATAATTGCATAGCTCAGTCCCTCGTTTTACTTGGATTCTTAAACTTTGGCTTTTTGTGGCCACTGTGCTATTCTCTCATTTTCCCTGCTCCTTTTTCTTTAGTCATGACCTCATGGTCCAGTGTATAAATGCTTATTTAATTGTCATTTTTATTGAAATGATTTTTATGCTCTGTGAGGGCAGAGACTTTGTTTTGTATAGTACTGGTTTATGTCAAGGAGCCAGAACAAGGCCATGCACGTGTAGGGGCCTCAATAAATGTTTGCTAAATAAATGAATAAAAGTGAATGAACCTATTGAACTTTTTAAAAGCAAAATACTTCTTGCCATTGTCTTCTAATATGTGGACTACATTTAATTAGAATATCATACCATTAACTGAATTGAAAAAATTATGATGAATGCATATCTGCAAAATAAGAGTTTTAATAATAATTGACAACCTACCTTCTTCAAAAATGGGTTTAAGTAAAAATGCATAAAATATAAAGGTGTGAACCAGAAAGATCATACCTCAAACCTATGTTATCATAGCTTTTGCAGCTAAGTACTAAATCGAGATGAGAGTTTCTTGATAGCTTAGGCGAAAAGGGGAATATAAACGGTGATAGAATTTTCAAAAAGTATATTTGATCTGTAAGGATTTTCTTTCTCAAAACAGAGGTTCAGGCTCAGCACTTTCTCCTTTGCAGCAACTGTCCTGAGTCTTACTCATTTAATAAATACACAAAGTGCTTCTATATATTATTCATATTTATGTGTGTATCACTATAGAGCAATAAAACAAATTTTAGAAAAATTATGAAAGTGAGAATTGCCCTGTGTCAACCTTCCTTTTTTCTTTTTTCATTTAGTCTGCCTTTTGTCCTTTGTACTTTCACCAAAATAGGAAAGTCTGTATCATCTGTTGTTAACTTTTCCCAACTGTATTTGCAAGGCATGTTTTATAATGGAAGATACAGTGTCCTGATAAATAAGATAGTCTTTGCCCTCTGTGAGATTAAGATCTATAAATAAGGAGGGGAAGGCCCAAATTAAAAAGCAATTCTGTGGTGTGGTAGTAAGATCCAGTGAACCCTCACTGATCAGAGAATGAGTGGAACACTTTACCTGGATGATCGGGAGGGATTTTGCAGAGGAAATACTAAGATGTGTATAGAGTATGGGTAAAATGACAGTTGATGAAGAACATGGGATAGAAACAGAAAACTTGAGCAGAAGCCTAAATGCAGGAACAGGTGAAGACCTGGTTTTTGGGTAAATTAAAAGGCTGACTAATGTGGGAGCCCGTGTCGGAAAATTTAAGAGGTAACACTAGAAATGTGGGTTGGTACTAAATTAAGGAAGCTGGAGGCTCTGTGCTGTAAGCACTGCATCATTGAAGAGGGTTTGAGCGAGATAGTGAAAACAGTGTTTCCGGAAGATGAATCCGGCAGCAGTATGTACAGTCAGTTAGAATTTATAAATGTTTTAAAGGATGCATTGTATTATTACTGCCCCTCTGTTAATACTGTCAGACTGTAAAAGGAACTGTACTTTTTGACAATTTCGAAAAGGTTGTTTGACTTAAATTTTTCTAAAACTGACATGTTGAAGCTTAAATTGGGCCATTATGACATAAGTATTTTAAGAGTACTTTCATAAAGATATTCCCATTAAAAAAAGACAACCTTTAATATTTTGCTTTATAGTTTATAGTATTTCAATATTTTAAAATAATGGGTACACATTTTTTAAATGGGGACAGTGCAAAAATAACATACAGTAAAATCCTTACATTCCTAATTTCTAATGTGCCAATTCTCCCCAGCAGGAACAATTATTTGTAAATTAATCCAGATGCCTACCTAAGGTGTTCATATAGACAAACATACTGTTTTACCAGTGATAGTACAGAATATGACATAGTGTTTTGTCCCTTACTTTTTATCACTTAATATGTCTTAGATGTTATTTCATTATTTGTATTTGTGTTGTACCACTAGGTCCTTGAGTCTCCCTTAGACAGGGAGTCTGTTTTTTACAATTCTGAAAAAATTGCCACTCATCTTAGTTACTTTCCCCTCTTTCCCATTGCTGAGCCATAGTACCCAGCACCCGCAATTTAAAGGAGGGAAGGTTTATTTGGCTCACAGTTTACAGAGATTTCAGTCCCTAGTCACCTGGTTCCAAGGCGGGGTAGTAGAGCAGAGGGGCACAGGAAGCAACGAGCCATCAAGGGAGGAGGGATACGACCTCTTGGGGCTTTTGGTGGATCATTAATGTGTAAACTACAACACCGCTCCTTAGCATGTAAGGATCCTTTGTGATAGGCTTGTATCTGTTTCACTTTCTAATAATGACTAGCCTATATATGTATGTATATATTTTTTAATACTAAACATTGAGTATCCTTTGTCTGAAATGCTTAGAACCAGAAGTGTTTCAAATTCTTGGGCTGGGGATTTAGCTCAGCGGCCAAAGCGCCTGCCTGGCAAGCGCAAAGTCATGAGTTCGGTTCCCGGTACCGGAGAAAAACCAAAAAAAAAAAAAAAACAAATTTCAAATTCTTTTTTCAGATTGTGAAATGTTCACATATACTGTACATAATAAGATATCTTGGAGATGCAACCCAAGTCTAAACACAAAATTTATGTTTTTTATATGCTGTACACTTACACTGAAGATAAGTTTATCCAGTATTTAGAATAATTTTATGTATCAAATGTTTCATATATCAGATCAGGTGTGGAATTTTCCAAATGTGGAATCATAGCAGTTCTCAAAAAGTTTTGGAGTTTGGAGTGTTTTGGGTTTCAAATTTTCAGATTAGGGATGTTTAACCTGTAATTTTTTTTTTTTTTTTTTTGTACCGGAATTGAAACTCAGGATCTTGCACTTGCCAGGCAGGTGCTTGTGCCACTGAGCTATATCCCTGGCCCCTTAACGTGTAATTATAATTGATTCTTGACAATATTGCTTAAGAAAGTGAAAGAAGTTGACCTAAGTTTAAAAATCGTTCCTTTTTTGGTTTTTTTTTTCTTTTTTGTTTATTGTCTGTAATCATGCTATGTGAATTTATGCTATATGACTAAAAATCATTTGTGTGTATAAGTTATATAATTTAATTTAGTGATTGAATACTGTTAAGAAAAGGCAGGAGTGAGCAATGGCCCAGCAAGTTTTTGGCATGAGCAGATCATAGTCAAGATGAGGAACATGAGAAATGCAAGACCTTGGGAATAGTTTTGAATATATTTAAGGCGTTTATGAGATATCACAATGAAGATGTTAATAATGCACTTAGATATTTGGGTTTGGTGTCCAGAAGGGAGATGAGGACTAGAGATCCAAATTAAGAATTACAAGCCTATTTTTTGCTGTTTCAATGCTCAGGAATAGAAGAAAGTGTCTAGTGAGAGTCAAGTGTGAGGAAAATGTCCTTAAGATGCTATAGAAGGAAACTTCAAAAACGAAAGAGAAATAACTAAAGAGGTTCTATGAAAACCTGTCACGTATATATAGGGAACACCAAGAGGAAAGAGTGCTTCTTATTAGTATGTGTATAGAGTACATAATAATTACATTCATTGTGGGGAGTTGGTTTATGTGCATAGTAGCACATCGTCATTCTTTTTTACTTTCTCATTTCCTCCCTCCGTTTCCAGGTCTCCTTCCCATTTGAAAAAGATTTCTCTCTTTCCTGTTATCTATCTTGTATTTTACTCTTTATACTTTGGGTTTCTTGCATAAGAGAAAGCATAAATATTTAAGCTATTGCATATGATTTATTTTACCTACCCTTATACCCTCAAGGTGCATCTGTTTTCCTACAATTGATTCAAATTTATCATTCTTTATAGCAGTGTAGTATATCATTGTATGTAAATACTACATTTTCTTTATACATTCATCTCTGTTGATGGACATACAGACCATTCCAAGATTTAGCTACAATGAGTTGTGCTGCTTTAAACACAAGTACTTGCATGCATCAGTGTATCACCAATGTCTTTAATTGTTTTGGAAAGATGCCTAGAAAGGGAACAGTTAGGTCAAATGGATTTTTTTTTTTTTTTGAAGAATTTCCATACTGATTTCTATAGTTATTGTAATGGTTTACATTCCCAACAATGATGTAGAAGGGTTCTTTTTCCCTGAAGCCTCACCAGCCTTTGTTATTACTTGATTTCTTGATGATAGCCATTCTTTCTAGAAAAAGGTGGAATCTCAGTGCTGTTTTAATTTGCGTTTCTCTAATGACCAGCAGCGTTGAACGTTTTTTCATGTATTTATTAGCCACTGTCCATTTCAGTTGCCTATTTTTTCATTAGGTCTCTAAATTTCAGGAGGGGCATCTAATTTTTTTTTTAGTTACATATATATATTTTATTTATAAATATATTCTAGTCCTCTGAGGAATAGCTGGAAAACTTTCTTTCCGTTCTGTAGGTTGTCTTTTCACATTGTTGGTTAGTTCTTTTGCTTTTTAAATTTTATATAATCCTACTTGTTGATTCTTAATGTTATTTCTTGTACAATTGGAGTTCTGTTCAGGAATTCCTTGCCTATGCTCTTTTATCTTCTAGCAGATTGTTTCTGTTTTCATATTTAAATCTCTGATTCTTTTTTTTTTTTGTCTTTTTGAGACAGGGTCTCTCTATGCAGTTCAAGCTGACCGTGAGCTCACTTTGTAGCCCAGGCTAGTGTCCAACTCGCAACGATCCTCCTGCCTCAGCCTCCAGAGTGCTAGGATTACAGGCGTGTGCCACCACGCGTGGCTTTTTTTTTTTGTCCATCTTTTTGAGACAGAGTCTTGCTTTTTGTCTTTTTGAGACAGGTTCTTGTTAGCATTTCTGACTGGCCTTGAGCTCACTCTGTAGCCCAGGCTGGCCTCGAACTTGTAACGATCCTCCTTCCTCAGCTTCCCGAGTTCCGGGATTATAGGTGTGTGCCACCACACCTGGCTTCATTTTAATTTTAGTTTAGTACATGGTGAGAGATACGGGTCTAGATTCAATCTTCTGGTGTGAATAGCCAGTTTTCCCTGTCAAAAAGATCAGGTGCCTGAATGCTGCTGGGGTTGTTTCTACATGCTCTGTTCTGTTCCATTCCTCCTCATGGCTGTTTTTTTGCTAGTGCCATGCTGTTTTTATCACTATAGCTTTATAATATAACTTCAAATCAGGGTTGTGATTCTTCCTGCCTTGCTTTGTTGCCCAGGGTTGCTTTTGATATTCTGGTGTCTTCTGGTTTCATATGAATTTTAGGATTTTTCTTTCCCTCTGTGAGGAATACTGTTGGTATTTTGAATGGGATTGCATTAAATCTAAGTATTTAATTTTTCTTAATGCTATAGGGAATGGTGTTATTTTTCTAATTTCTTTCTTGGTGGATTCATTAGTGGTATAAAGGAATGCTATTGAGTTTTGGATGTTGATTTTGTATCCTGCTATCTTGCTGAATTTATTTATTCTATAAGTCTTTTGGTGGAATTTCTGGGATCTTCTATGTGAAAGATCACATCTGCAAATAAAGATTTCAGAGGTGTCAAATACTTACAAGCATATGCATTAAAACAGCCTTAAGATAATTCTGCTGAAGAAAATGTTTGGGGGGAGTTCTTATTGCTTTTTTTTTTCCTCATTTGATAAAAATACCTTTATATTGGAAAGATTTTTTTATTTTGCTATTTTCAGGGATATGAAGATTGGTTACGCCATAACTCAGATAATGAAGTAAATGGAGCTCCTGTTTATGTTGTTCGAAGTGGTGGCCTTGTAAAAACCAGATCAAAAAACATTCGGGTAAGTATCTGGTAAATAACAGAAAATTCTATTTTGATATGGCACATAATTCTAGACTTGATTATATTTTAGTTAGAAAACTTTATTTCTTTACATTAAAAGACTATAATAGAGCTGGAGGCATAGGTCAGACTTATCTAGCATACTTCAGACCCTGTGTTTAATACTGCAAATTATAATAATAATTTAGGTCACATATGTAGAACCAGTAAAAATGTCTTTGCCTTTTAAAATCTGAGTATTCTTTTCCCCTAAATTCTTCATAGGTGGGGGATATTGTTCGAGTAGCCAAAGATGAAATCTTCCCTGCAGACTTGGTGCTTCTCTCCTCAGATCGACTTGATGGTTCATGTCACGTTACCACTGCCAGTTTGGATGGAGAAACAAACCTAAAGGTTTGTATTTGTATGTATGTCTGAAGGTTAGGTAATAATATTTTCCTTTGGTTGAAAAAATAGAATATGACCTTATAAAGGAGAATTTTTAGACTTACTGATATGTACATTAAAAAATTATAAAGTTTTTAGAAAGAAAAAAAATTTTTTTTGAGACAGGGTCTCATTTGTAGTTCAGGCTGGGCTTGAACTCATAGTGATCCTCCTTCCTCATTTACTGAGTGCTAGGATTTCAGGCGTGTGCCACCATGCCTGGCTATATGTTTATTTAAAGAGTAGCTTCACAGAGTTTAGTCAGTTCAAGTTGAAAATGGAAAGTATTTTTAAGAAAAATATCTTTTCATACTTTTCATGGGTTCTTTTAGTTAAGGGACAAGTTGAAATTTTCTGTTTTTAGGTTATAATCAAGGCTAAAAATTCACTTTTTATCATATTAAATTGTTTCTAATAAACTTTGAGCAGTAGTGAATATGCATAGACTTTTGAATATACATACAATATACACAGGCTTTTGTGCAAATAGCCTCTGTAGACCAGAAATGAGACAGCAGTGCCTTTACTCTTCGTTTTATGCTCTGGGTTCGTTTTTGTTGTCTAGCTGAGTGATCTCAAGTATGGTATGACATGGCTTCATCTGTAAAAATGTGTGTGTGTGTGTGTGTGTGTGTGTGTGTGTGTGTGTGGTACCAGGAATTGAACTCAGAACCTTGTACTTGCTAGGCAGGCACTCTCCTACTGAGCTATATCTGTGGCCCTATAAAAAAGATTTCAAGCAGTGGTTGATATCTCAGGTCACATTTGTTTTGTATTGTTTTTAATTTTTTTTTATTTTAAAGAGTAAAAGAAGGATAACATAATAATAGGTGGGGCTTACCAAATTACAGACAAAATGGTAGGAAATTATCAATGGTTTTACATATTGTTATCTACAAGATAGTTTCTCAGGAAAACAAAGAGACAGATACTAGTGAGTTACAGACAAAAGAGGTAGATTATCAATAGTTGTACTACACTTTGGTATCTTCAAAGTGGCTTCTAAAGAAAATAAATAGAGCTATACATGAGTAACCTATTGAATAATAATTAACTATCCTCAATGGTTGTTGTAGGAAACCCATAATAGACATGCATCCATTTATGAAATAAGATAGGGACAATACAAACATTACAAAGTTATGGATAGATTAGTAGGAAAATATCAATGGCTGCTGTAATACATGGTGGTATCTTCAAAGTGGTTTCTCAGGAACACAGAAATACGCAAGAAAGATCTAACAAATAGTTACAGACTAAGGGTTGTCAAAAGTAGCATATTACCTCCTCACCAGTGACTCCTGTCACTGAGGTGTGACGGCTGGAAGGAAGGCCAGGATTGCAAAGAAGGACTGAGAGACTTGCACCTGTGTCTAGCAACAGGCTGTGTTCTTGTTCCTCCATAGTCATGATTACCTGGGGCTCCTCCATGGAGATGATGGTCTGGTCAGAGGGAGAAGGCAAAGTATGCCCCAGGCCCCCTCATTCCTCTTGGACTAACTGGTAGCATGGATCTGAACTCTAGGGCCTCTGCTTCAGAGGGCAGACCAATGTCCAGTGGTCACCTTTGCATTCAGGGCATGGCCCATGGGGCCTCTTAGGGCAGGTCCTCTTGAGGTGGCGTGGCATTTTTAACAGTTGTAGCAGATGAATGCGGTCGTCAAGTTCTTGGGGCCCCAAGAATCAGACTTAGGGTCTGTTTCTCTTAGTGCTGCAGCAAAAGCAGCTGCTTTTTCTCAGTCTCTTTGTTTTCTCTCCTTGGCCTCCTCCTCAACATGGCTATAGAATACTGAGGAGGCAATCCTTACTAACATCTCAAGTAAGCCATCTGGGGTGAAAGCCATTCTTTGTAGCTTTTTCTCTCCATCCTCCCATCTCATTGAGACCCCACAACCACTTAGTGTCCTCTCCCCAGCTGTCAGCACAGGCAGCAGGAATCTTGCTGCAGACCTCTCCAGAGCTCCACCACAGCCTGTACTGTCAGGGGAAGAATGGCTTCCAGGGGGTCTCCACAGGTATTGCGCAAGGTCTTCCTGGTTTACAGCTTCCGAACGGCTGTCATGACCCCAGTCCACAGGACCTCTGACTCCTCGGGCTTAGTCTGCATTCTCATGTTCTCCGAGTCCTTGTTCAGCAGCTGCTCCTCCGCTGACTCTGAACCTTTCTGGTTCTCCATGGCAGGAGCAAGAGTGACCCTCTGTGTGGCATGTATTTCCAGGGGTTTCTTCATGTTTGAATGATTCACACAGGTCCGTGGGTGGGCCTCTGCAGCCGGTGCATTTGTGTCATTGTTTCTCTATGTCATGGTAGTTTTCAATTGAGTGGCAGTGGCTGCCCTGAGGGCCGGCACGCGACAGCGTTCCCTGCCACGAAGCTTCCCGAGTGCCAGGGGACCTCCTTCTGGGTACCTTCGAGGCAGGGAGCCAGCCCGAAGACCAGTGCTCCCCGCCACACGGCTTCCCCGGGCTCCGGAACCCCTCGGCCCAGGCACCTGCGAGGCTGGGGCTGGCCTGAGGGCCAGAGCTCCCCGCCCCACGGCTTACTGAGTGGTGGGGGCCCTCCTTCAAGGCACCTGTGAGGCTGGGGGCCGGCCCAAGGGCCAGCGCTCCCCACCACTCCTAAGGTCACATTTGGATATTAATACTGTTCCCTTTCCTTTTCTTTTTTTTTCCCCCAGACACATGTGGCCGTTCCAGAAACAGCAGTATTACAAACAGTTGCCAATTTGGACAGTCTTGTAGCTGTAATAGAATGCCAGCAGCCTGAAGCAGATTTGTACAGGTAGGTGTGATGCTCAGTATGTTCATTTCTAGTTCTGTAGACAGACCTATGTTTATAACCATAAATCTTCTACTTTTCCATTACCTATTTTTTTGTAAGCTACTGTGCTCAGTTTATAGCTGTGGTAGTATATAGAGATTATATTATTTCTGTAGAATAAGTTTAGTGACTTTTTTGTAAACTACATGAAGTTGGGATTATATTTTTGTGTTCACCAGCATAGAGAAATATCACTTTTAGAACCTTATGTATGATTTACATAGCTTTCAGAATTTCGCATATATAACACATGATGAAGTAGGAAAATAAAATTTTACATAAATATTATCTTGAAGTCCTATAAGTTCCTTAAGGATAGAAACTATGTCTTATCACAGTAAGCACAAAATACAAAAATAATTTTTTAGAGTTTTAGATTTGCAAGGATCCTATTTAAAGGAGCAGTGAAACTCTTTAATAACATTATAGTTTATTAAATTTATGAGTCATTATTCAGTGATTCCCCCTATTGTTGTGGACTGTGGAATGGAAACAGCTTTTCACTGAAGACATTTTTACTCAATAACTGGTAGTAGACCCAGTTACAACCACATTGTAAAAATCACCTTCAGCTTGTCACATATCTCCCCCTGTTGGTTGAAATATTTCAACATCTTTCATCGTTGGTATCTTCAAATCTTTTTACATGTGTTTGTTTTGCATCCATGCTTTATAAAAACGAAGGAATTCCCTGTCCAGTGGTATAAAAATCTTGGATTTTTGTCAAAGCAAATGCAGCATAGAATTTCTCAGTTAAATAAAATATTTGGAATCCTATGCATTAGGAGCATTTAAACTCCAAGGTACATTTACTTGTGAATAATTAAAGTGCTTTTAAGATTTCTATATTGCTATTATGTCCTGGTCTCAGGCCACTGGGGAGGAAAAAACAAAAACAAAAACTTTTAAAAACTAGAAAACAATGCTGGGCCGGGGATATAGCCCAGCAATACAAGCACCTGCATGGCAAGCACAAGGTCCTGCGTTTGATTCCCAGTACTCTCCCCCGCCAAAAAAAGACATAAGTCTCATTTAGAAAATGATGCAGAATTAAACAAGCATAAGATTAATATGAAATGAAATATGAGTAATGCTTTGGTCTGTGGTTTGCTGTTTTTTTTGTTTTGTTTTGTTTTGTTTTTCTTGTTTGTTTTAAAATAGAATCTCAGTATAAAGCCCAGGCTGGCTTTGAATTTTTGGCAATCCTCCTGCCTCTGCTTCCCTGGGTGCTGGGATTAGAAGTGTGTGCCACCACACCCAGCTTTGGTCTGAGGTTTTTAAATTATCTTGGAAAATAGGGAAAATTTTTTAAGCTTTTTATTTATTTATTTATTTTTAAATACTGGATGTTAAACCCAGGCCTTTGCACTGGACTACATCCCCATGCATTTTCTTATATTCTATTTTGAATCAGGATTTGTATTTCTATACTAATTTTGCAAAGTCTCTAAGCTGCTCAGGAATACTTGGAATACCTCAGACTCCTAGACTCCTAGAGTGCTAGAATTACAGGGCTGCTACTGTTTGGTTTTGGTTGATTGGGTTATTTTTTGTTTGGTTTGGTTTGGGTTGGGTTTTTTTAGTACTGGGATCAAACCCTCTACCACTCTATACTCTACCGCTGAGCTACAACCCCAGGCCTTTTCATTTTTGATTTTTAAGTAGGAACTTGTTAAGTTGCCCAGACTAGTCTCAAACTTGTGATCCTTCTGCCTTAGCCTCCCAAGTGTCTGGAATTAATAAGCATGCATTACCACACCTGACTTAAATTTTTATTGCATGGACAAAGTATAAGTTTATATTATTTGTTTCTTGTTTCAAGTTTTATTAAAATTAAAGGTTATAGGTTTTTTTGCCAATTATATAGCTAATAGTTTTATAGTTTGATTGTCTTTTTCTTTGGTCCTTTTGAAATAGGGTCTCACTATGCAGTTCAGGCTAGTCTTGAATTCACTTTGTAGCCCAGACTGGCCTCGAACTTGCAATGATCCTCCTGCTTCAGCCTCTCGAGTGGTGGCATTACAGGTGTGTGCCACTACAGCCAGCAGTTTCATAGTTTTAAACTAGTTTTAATTTGCATTTTTTTATTACAAAGGTAAAACATTTTCCTGTGTTTTAGGTTTTTTTCACCCAGGAACAGTATGATTTTTTTTCTCAATTGCATGTATATTATTCCTCTTAAAAACATACTATTCCTCATAAAAACTTTTATACTTTAGCAAGAGAAAATATCAACTGGGTGTGGTAGAGCACACTTGGAGTCCCAGCACCCAGGGAGGCAGAGGCAGGAGGATCACAAATTCAAGCCAAGCCTGGGAACTTACCAACTTAGTGAGACCCTGTCTTAAAGTAATAAGAGAGAAAAGGAAAGGACTAGAGATGTAGCTTAGTGTGAAAGCACTGTGTTTAGTCTCTACTGCCATACAGAGAGAGGGAGAGAGAGACACTTGGTAATAGGTGATTTCTGTTAAGCTGCTGAAAGAAGTAAACACTAGAGGAGCCTTCTGTTCAGGAGCAACCTCCAGCATGTGCTTGTTAGAGTCGTCTCCATTTTCTCTGTCTGTCTCTCTCTGCTTTAGTTTTCTTTCTTGTATTTCTATCCTGTTATATCTTAGACTCTGACTCAGCTCTTGCACAGCTATGAATTTTTTAGATAATAAAACTGTGCTTTAGATAATAAAACTATGCTTAGGAATTATCATAATAAAAATGTGAAAATATATATATTCAGCCATGGCAGGGTATTATGTAGGCTATTCATAAATTGGGAGGAAACTCTAAACTTACTATCAGTAGTGATTGATTGATTTTTTTTTTTTTTTTTTGGACTTTTTGAGACAGGGTTTTGCTCTGCAGTTCAGGCTGGCCTTGAGCTCACTTTGTAGCCCAGGCTGGTCTTGAACTTGCAGCAGTCCTGCCTCAGCCTCCCAAGTGCTGAGATTATAGACATGCACCACCGTGCACGGCTTCAAAAGTAGTGATTTAAATAATTTATATAGTAACAAAAATGCAATATTATGTGTGGCTACTAATAATAGTAATGTATATGCAAGTTTCTGGTAGGACATGTTAAGTTTGCGAATAACGTTACCAGCAATATTTATGATATCCTGTTTTTGTTTGTAAGATCTGTATACATATGTGAATATACCCAAAAAAAGCCTGAAAAACATACCCCAAAATACTAGCAGTGTTTGTATTTAGTTGGATTACCAGCTATTGTTATTTTCTTTTTGATGTCTTTTTATATTATCTAAATACTTTTATAAAATATGTGCATGCTTGAATATGAATGTAGTGTTTAAATCAGAAAAGAAAATAATGTTATTCCTACTTCGAAAAAAATTAAAATACAGATTTAGAAAAAGGGATAGATAAAGCACAGGTGGGTTCAGTGTGAAACTGGCCTGACCACATGCTAGAAGTGCTGTAAAATTGTGGGTAACAGGGCAGATAAAAAGAAGCAGATGCCTTGTTGGAATTTAGCTAAAGGAAACAAAAATACTTACCACATAGCATCTTTGAAAGGTGTCCAGGGAGACATAAGCTGGATTTGTTCTTAGAGTCTAAATGCAACTGGATTTTGACTGGAGCCAGGGCTACATAAAATTCCATTAAGAAGAAAAAATAAAAATCGTGCTTCTCCCTGAGGAGCTAAAGGAAGTGGAAGGAAGAGCTTAGGAAGAAATAATGAAGCCAGTCTTGAAGGGACAGAGGGTGTGTGATGAGGAAAGAGGAAGAATAATGGGGGTACTTGGAAGGGAATATTTCTTTGCTTAAAGGCTAACTTGAAGTTCTGTCCAGAATTTGCTTCAATTCAGAATACACTTCTTACTATAGTAGAAAATATCTTTATGCTTAAATTGCCTTTATGCAGTGGAGCAATTAAAACTAAAAAGCCAGTGTGTGAAAATCCATTATGATAACAGACTACTCACTGTAGATTTCAGGCAGCCAGCAGTTTAAAATGACTGTAAGGGGAGAGGAGCTGAGAAGCGCACAGGTAGGTTTTGGCTTGCAGCTCTGTCCCTGCCGCTTGACTCATACATAGTAGTTGCTCAAAGAATATCTGTTGAATAACTGAATGAGCAGATAAATGTGTGACCTGGTTCCAGTGATCTCTTAGGCCACAGGAGACTTTCTTTAGTAAATTATAATAAAAAATGCGAACATTTCACTGTTGGCTAAATAATATATGTATTTTTGTGTGGCAGTTGTAAATTCTTACAGTGACCAAACTAATAATAGTAATAATATATAACATGTTGGCATTTAGAAAACACTTTTTCATTTACTACCTCCTTTACAGCTGGAATAGAGATGGCAAGAATACTAAAATTTTTAAAGTGTAAAGACTACATATTTTTATAGTTTATAGCATGACTATTGGGCCATTTCTTGTGCATAAAAGGTTGATTTTGTTTCATGGATAAAAAAATAGTTTTAAACTATCTGCTGTGTTCGGCCTGTTGACTTGATAAGTAATACAGTATCATATTTTTGTAATATATGGTACATTCTTTTATAGATTCATGGGGCGAATGATAATAACTCAGCAAATGGAAGAAATTGTAAGGTAAGAATAAATTTGTGTTAGCTACTGTTTAGTGGGAACTGTTTGAGGAAGGGACTGAAAGGTAAAAGGAGATCAGGTAAACAAACAGTCATCATGGAATAAGGTTAATTTTAAAACATTTAGCCCTTTATCTTCTAGTAATTTGTAGTACCAGCAAGTGAAGATGAAATATCCCATGAAATGATATCAAAATAATTTAGGAAGATTTGGATTTCCTTTTCTTTTCTTTTTTTTTTTTTTTTTTTTAAATAATAGCTGCTTTTTATCTGGATCCTTACACAATTAAACCCATAATACTTAGTCAAGAATATGAGGGGTTAGTGTAGCTCTAAGGTAGAGTGCATGCTTACTCTGACTTTAATATCAAGCACCTCCCAAATGTTTTATGTACCATATAGTATTATGAATGGTATGATCTTTATTTCAGATTATTCAGTGCAGGCTGGAACATTTAGTACCCAATACAGAGCCAGTTGCTTATTCTGATTGGTTTTTTGCTTATCTTCCTCCTCCTTGCCCCAATATTCAGTACTTTTTTTTTTTTTTTTTTTTGGTACCGGGAATTGAACTCAGGACCTTACACTTCCCAGGCAGGCACTTGTTCCACTGAGCTGTATCCCCAGCCCAATATTCAGGTTAATTTTTGGCATCTTAATAAAATAATTTTGGAATCAGTTAAAACGTTTGCTGATAGAATAAAATTACATTGTTATTCGTGACCAAAGGGCTTAAATTTAGACTCAATCTTGGACTCATCCCTGAATTTCTAATTGAATTTGACATGCCGCTTCTTTTTGGAGACATGTTTAGTTTATACTTTCTGCAAGAGACAAATCACTAATAGAGTTGAGCACTTTTAACATGAAATTGACAAGCCACCAGAATTACCATATCAGCAGTGATTCACATTTTAATGAACATTAACATAGGAGCACATTCAGTAAACTCTGTAAACAAGATCTTTCTATGTATAGAGTCCCTGCTGAATAACTGTGACCGGTTTTATTTTTATTTCTATAGTGGAATAGTGAAAAAATGTGTGGCTACATCATCTGAATTGCATTTAGATACTGTGGCTGGTAAAGGAAAGCAGCAGTTATGTTGCTTCCACTCCTAGAATGGCTAACAAATTAAATAATGTTCTTTACTGAAGCAACTGGAGTGAACTGATGAACTGTCTTTAAAATCTAAAGCTTGTATCCCAGCATGAACTCAAAGCATTTGTCTTCATTGTTAGAAGCAATATCAAGGGGAAAGGAGCCACTTTATAGCTCCTGAGTTGTTGCCACATTGATTTGAGAATATCCATGAAGTGCGCTCCAAATAGGTAACAAAAGCATACTTGTTAACCATGTCCCAAATACATGGCGTTCCTTGACTCATCACATTTTTTACTGTGTTTGGGTTTGCAGATATTTTTATTTTATTTTATTTTATTTTATTTTATTTTTTTCCGGTACCAGGAACCAAACTCAGGACCTTGCGCTTGCCAGGCAGGCGCTGTGCCGCTGAGCTAAATCCCCAGCCCCATTGCAGATATTTTTAAATCAATGATTCAAATTCTGTTTGCTTGCAGTAAATATATATGTATCTTTAGGAAAGCATAAGGATTTATCAACAAAATAAAGGCTTTTAAATTTATCCGTAACAGACTTTTAATGGTTTTGCTGTCACTAAGAAGATACAATTTCCTTTCTAGTTATTCCTTGTCACTTTGTATCTCCTTTATGGAGAGAAATTGAAACAGCAAGAAGACATGTGCTCCAAGAAGTATGCAATGCAAGTAGTCAAATTGTACTGTGTGACCCTGCCTACAAAAACACTAACAGATTTTCTACGTTAGATTTTGTAATCCAGCATAATCTTAATTGTGCAGAACTCATGCCTTTATACACAAATCATAGTTTGTTTACATTCCATTTTAATTCAGCTATTTCTAAAGCTGTTTATTAATTTTCCTCAATTTTTAAAAATTCCATCTTCTGCTTAACTTTCTTAAATCACTGCTTAATCTTTGATTTTGTTATATTTTACGTTTAAAATTTTTGAAACTAGTGGCTTTGTGAGTTTATTTACATGCCTATTTTATTTCTTTTAACCTTAAAGTGACTGAAATGCTAAAGCAGGTGTTTGTTGTTACGGTAACTAACATCATGGTTGGCTCAGGCAGCTTTATAATAGCTAGGGTTTTGGTTTTATTTGAAACCGGTGTATTACCTATAGCATAAGTATTTCCTACTGACAATGCCCGTTAGTTAAATGGAGTTTTTGGTATCTAATGTTTTTAATTTCTCTTTTTTCTTAGGCCTCTGGGCCCAGAGAGTCTTTTACTTCGTGGAGCCAGATTAAAAAACACCAAAGAAATTTTTGGTTTGTACATACTTAAAAATTTTTAAGTATTCTTTTGTATTGATGCTTCATATAAACTATTTCAAAAAAGCACAGCATATATGGGCTTTTGATTGCATAATTTATTAATGAGATGTTATATATGATGATTTTCTTAGATTTTTTTTTTATTTTAAAGAGTAAAAGAAGGATAACATAATAATGGGGGGGGCTTACCAAATTACAGACAAAGTGGTAGGAAATTATCAATGGTTATTGTTTTACATATTCTTATCTGCAAGATAGTTTCTGAGGAAAACAAAGAGACAAATAATAGTGAGTTACAGACAGAAGAGGTAGGAGATTATCAATAGTTGTTGTACTATACTTTGGTATCTTCAAAGTGGCTTCTAAAGAAAATAAATAGAGTGACCTGTTGAATAATCATTAACTTTTTTCTCAATGGTTGTTGTAGGAAACACATAATGATAGACATGCATCCATTTATGAAATAGGATAGGAACAATACGAACATTGCAGAGTTATGGATAAATTAGTAGGAAAATATCAATGGCTGCTGTAATACATGGTGGTATCTTCAAAGTGGTTTCTCAGTAAGACAGAGATACGCAAGAAGGATCTAACAAGCAGTTACAGCCTAAGGGTTGTCAAAAAACAAGTGAGCCGTCTGGGGCCAAAACCATTTTTCATAGCATTTTCTCTCCGGCCTCCCATCACATTGGGACCCCACAACCAGTTAGTGTCCTCTCCCAAGCTGTCAGCACAGGCAGCAGGAATCCTGCTGCAGACTTCTCCGGAGCTCCACCACAGCCTGTACTGTCAGGGGAAGAATGGCTTCCAGGGGGTCTCTACAGGTATTGCGCAAGGTCTTCCTGGTTTACAGCTTCCGAACGGCTCTCATGACCCCAGTCCACAGGACCTCTGACTCCTCGGGCTTAGTCTGCATTCTCATGTTCTCCGAGTCCTTGTTCAGCAGCTGCTCCTCCTCCACTGACTCTGGACCTTTCTGGTTCTCTATGGCAGGAGCAAGAGTGGCCCATTGTATGGCATGTATTTCCAGGGGTTTCTCCATTTTTGAATGATTCGCACAGGTCCGTGGGTGGACATCTGCAGCCGGTGCATGGTGGGCCTGTGTCATTGTTTCTCTGTGTCATGGTAGTTCTCAATTGAGTGGCAGCGGCTGGACTGAGGGCCGGTGCACAACCACGCTTGCCGCTGTGTGGATCCCCCTGCGCCAGGGGCCTTCCTTCCGGGCGCCTGAGAGGCAGGGAGCCAGCCAGTTGGAAGACCGGCGCTCCCTGCCCGTGGCTCCCCGTGCTTTGGGCCCCTCCTTCTGGGCACCTACGAGGCAGGGAGCAAGCCACCTTAGATTGTTTTAATACTGAATTTTTTTGGTTAATCTGTTTTTGAGTAATAGACTAAGACTAAAACCTTGCTCTTTAATTTTCTTTGAGGTGACTTGTGAAATTGAACACTAAGAAAATAATCCTTTCTTTTTTTTTTTCTTCTTTTTTCTTTTTTTTTTTTTTTGGTCTTTTTGAGACAGTGTCTCACTATGCTGTTCAGGCTGGCCTTGAGCTCACTTTGTAGCCCAGGCTGGTCTGAAACTTGTAACGATCCTCCTGCCTCACCCTCCCAAGTGCTGGGATTACAGACATGCACCACTACACCTGGCTTAAGGAAAATAATTCTGAGCCAGGCAGGGTGGCACACACCTATTATCGTAGCACTTGGGAGGCTGAGGCAGGAGGAATGCCTAGAGTTCAGGGTCAGCCTTAATTACCCACCAAGACCTTGTCTCAAAAAAAAAAAAAAGAAATAATTTTTTACTTTTAGAAATGTGGATTAGAGCCAGTGTAATCTAGCACCATGTGTAGTAAATCCTCTTAATAATTCTGTTATGATTATTCTTACGTGGAATTAAGAACCACTAATTCATTTATTGAACAAATTATCATTGATCTCTTACTGTATACCAGGTAGTATTGGAACATGTACTGGTGGTATCAAAAGGATGAATAAATAGGTCTCTTGCCTTGGAGAACTAAATCAACTTAATAGATTCTGAATCCACTCTGGACAAATTGTGACAATGACAATAACGTAGCTCCTCCTGTGTAATGGAGGAGCATAATCTTTTGTGTTCTGGCCCACTGTTAATCACAGCCTTTTTTTTTTTAGTTTTAATTTTTTATTAGTACATGTTTACATTATATGATTACATTCCTTGTAGAGAGTTGGTACAGATATATAACATACCTCAATTCTTCATCCCATTTTCTTCTCCCTCCTCCCTTTCCCATTTGAAAAAGATCTGTCTTGCTACTTCCTATTATCTGTCTTTTATTTTGCATTCATACCCATATACCCATGTTTATAGAAGCTCAGTTCATATTAGTTAAATCTTGGAAGCGGCGTATATATTTATCAACAAGAATGGTTAAAGAAAATGTAGTAGACAAAATGGAGTACTACTCTGCCTTAAAGAAGGATAAAACTGAGTCATTTGTGGGGACATGGGTATACCCTGAGACTATAATGTTAAGTGAAATAAATCGGCCTCACACACTTAAATCCCACATGGTTCCTTTATATAAAAATACAAATAAAGAGCAAAATAATAACAGCTCTTGAGGTCTTTTCTCTCATTCTCTTTTCATGTACCTATAGTATGTTTTATCTCAAAGTGTTAGATACTTTGATAAAGAAATGAATATTTTTAAAAAGGAGATAAGTGTTGGCAAATATGTATGAAAATTAGAACCTTCTTGTATTGCTGATGGAAATGTAGGATGTTGCAGCTGCTGTGAAAAATTGGTTTGTCAGTTCTTCAGTAAGTTAAACGTAGTATTAGCATATGCTCGATCTCAGTCTAAGTGTGTGCCCCAGAGAACTCAAAATGGGTGTTTAAATCAAAACTTGCACATAATGTTCATAGCAGCATTATGCACCCATAATAGCCAAAGGTTGGAAATAGCCCCAATGTTTATCAACTAATGAAAAGATAAGCAAAATTTGATGTATCTGTATAATGGAATACTACTTAGCTATAAAAAGGAATGCAACTTTAAAATGTTGTTAAGTAAAAGATACGAGACACAAAAAGGTCTGTGTTATATGATTCCATTTACTTAAAATACTCTTAATAAACAGATGATGGATACAAAACAGATAAGTTGTTCCCAGGGGCTAGGAGGTAGAGGGGAACAGGAGTGGTTGGTTAGTGGGACCAGGGTTTTTTCTTCTTATTAAATAGTAAGAAAGATTCCAACAAAGTGCAGGTGTACTATGTGCCACTGACTTTACACAGACTTCACTCTGTGATGTATTTTTTTCCATTTAAAGATGAGGAAATTGAGACTTAGATTACTTACACTAGAACGTAAAACTAGTAAGTGGCAGAACTAGTATTCAAGCCAAGGTCTAACTGCAACTTTTTTTTATAGAACTGGTTTTGTCTAATTTTATGCATTTCCAAGTTTCAGTCCTGTCATCATTACTATCATTCTTACTCATCTCAGTCCTTCGCTTGGACATTTTAAAAGTAACGTTTTGTTTGTCTTCAGTTTGCTCACATAGACTTCTTAGCAATCTCTGCACTGCTTACGGAGTGATGCCCAGAGCAGTTCTAGCATCCAAGAGCTTTCACTCTCCGGCCCTAATCCCTTGTACCAACCTAAGAGTGTGCTTTGTCTTTGTTAACTCTGCTGGCTGCATCTGTAGAGGCCATCTGTCTCTTTCCCATCTCTTCCTCTGTCAGTTCTGGTTATATCTCTTCCACTCAAGTACCTGTTCATACGTCCAGAACAAGACTCCTGTGGCTTTCCCACCCAGCACATTGACTGGGGCTTCCCAAAATCAGACTTTGAAAATGCGTAAAAACTGTAAAAAGACTTAAAGAAAATTCAAGTTATAACAACTGTCAGACAGTGCTTTTTCTTAGAAGCTTGCATGCTAGTAAGTACACTCATTTCCTATGGACATGCCGGAGAATTGTTGTAAAAGGGTTCTGGTTTGTTCTTTAGGTGTTGCTGTGTACACTGGAATGGAAACTAAGATGGCATTAAATTACAAGAGCAAGTCACAGAAAAGATCTGCTGTGGAAAAGTAAGAAAACTATTTTCACTTATTTATACGTAATTATTACTGTATTTAATAATCTAAATCTTACAGTTTGTAAAGAACTTTAAAGCAGATACTATAAATATGTTCAGGGGCTTAAAGGAAAATATGAGTGAACATATGAGAAACTCAGAAATGGAAACTATTGAAAAGAATGTATGGAAATTCTCAAGTTGAAAAATCTAATTGCTAAGCTGACTATCGTGGTGTATGCCTATAATTCCAGCACTTGGGATGCTGAGGCAGGAGGATCACTGAGTTCAATGCCAGTCTGGGCCACAAAGTGAGTTCAAGGTCAGCCTGAACTGCATAGGGAAGACCTGTCTCAAAAAGACAAGAAAAGAAAAAAATATAATTGCTCAAATATAAACACCATGAGATGGGTTTAACATGGAATTTGAGGAAAACAGAAGACATTGTGAACTGGAAAAAGAGCATTAGAAATTACTCATTTTGAAGAAGAGAGATAAAAAATTGGGGAAACATGAATCTCAGAGCTATACGAGACAATAGGCTGTCTAGCATAATTGATTCTCCCCCCAAAGGGGTAATAAAAATATTTGAAAAAAATTACTTGAAAATTTGTACAGCTTGAGGGGAGGGGAAAAAAAATTAGCTTTCACTACCAAGATCAGCAGATGCCATCCAGAAAAAATGCACAGTATGATTAGAGTACTGAAATCCATGAAAAAAGAGAAGATAATCTGTAAGCAGTCAAGGGAAAATATATCACATAGAAGTGAATAACAATATCTGTAATGTCCTCTAAAACAACAGAGGATTATGAACGAACTTCGTTGAATTGCTGAAGGAAAACAGATCATCCCAGATATCCAGAATATTTAACCATATTCTTTTAAAAAACACCTACAAATCACCCGGTACCGGAGAAAAAACAAAAAAAAACAAAACAAAACAAAAAAAACACCTACAAATCAATAATGAAAATAGAAATAGCCTACAACAAGTGGGCAAAAGACTGGAGTAGACACTTCACAAGGAAAATACCAGCACATGAAAGAATATACAGTGGTATGCTGGTTCACAATGGTTTTGTTTGTAAATAATTTGGTTTGCAAACAGAAGTGTTTGGCAAAATTTTGTTTTTGCTTGCAAAGTCTGCATGGTGACGCCAATGGCCATCTTTTCCCACACAAACACAAACATGGCCATCTTTTCCAAAGTTGTAGAACAAACAAAGTTCATGAATTGAGGTGCCACTGTACAGCCTCATTAGTCATGAGAGATAAAAATTAATAGTGTAAGGAGATACCAGTGAACACCTAATAGAATGACTAAACTTAGAAAACTAAGAAGTCCAAGTACTGATAAAGATATGGAACAACTGAGACTCTTCTAAATGATGCATAAATTAGCCAGGCGTGGTGGCACACGCCTGTAATCCCAGCACTCGGGAGGCTGAGGCAGGGGGATCGTTGCAAGTTCGAGACCAACCTGGGCTACAAAGTGAGTTCAAGGCCAGCCTGAACTGCATAGTAAGACCCTGTCTCAAAAAGACCAAAAGAAAAAAAAGAATGATGCATAAATTAAAGACGAAGTCTCAAAGAAAAATTTTTTTAAAACTGAGAAAGTAGGGGGCTGGGGATTTAGCTCAGCGGCAAAGCACCTGCCTGGCAAGCGCAAGGTCGTGAGTTCGGTTCTCGGTGCCGGAGAAAAACCAAAACTAAAACTGAGAAAGTAATAAAAATACATTGTTGTAGTCAGAATTTGCAAGGGAAGCAACTTAATACAGGACATATAATTTATAGTAGTATTTTTTAATATTCACCGAAAGGGTAAAATGTAAAAGTGTGCGAGAGATCTGTCCACACATTAGAGACCCAAAGAATCCAGCTGAGGGCCTGGATCCCACACCAGTGTCCTGCAGGAGTCCAGCTGAAGACTTAGCGTGCATGGCATTGTCCCCCATGAGTCCATGTGGAGGCCTAGAGCCCACAACAGTGTCTCCTGCAAGTTTGTATCAAGGATCTGCACTGGGAAGGCCCAGTGGTCAGTGGTGAAGGTAGAAAGTCTGCACCAACGAAATAAAGGATCTCATTGAGCAGGCTGAGGAATCTGCACTGGAGCCAGGAAGCAATGCTCAAAGTAAGGATCAGAGCTCCCCCAAAAAGAACCACAGCCATCCTCAGCAACAGTAAGGACCTGAGCTCCTCCAGTGATAAGAACAGCCAAGTTCATATCAGGAAAACCAGTGTGACAGGCTTCTCCGGGAAGATCAACAGCACACACCTTCCCCTCCAGAGGCAGAAAGCAGTGCTCAAAGTGAGGACCAGAGCTCCCCTGAAAAGAACTGCAGGTATCCTCGGTGACGAGATCCCAAGCTCCTGCAGTGATAAGAACAGCCAAGTTCATATCAGCAAAACCAGCGTGACAAGCTTCTCCAGCAGATTCAATAATAGCACACCTCTTCCTCTCCAGATCTCTTCTGTGTTGTTGGCAACAACCCTCAGGGCCTTCCATACCCAGCACCACACGGATTCAGTTCAGCTGGGTGTTACAAGGTGGCCACCAGTTACCAGTCCACCGCATACAGTGTATTAAAATTCGTGGGATATGGCTAAAACAGTGCTGAACAAGACATTTGTAGCACTGAATACATTAAAACAGTAATGTCCGACAAACAAAAATTAAAAACACAAGGTCAGTTATAGTCCCTCCCCACAAAAAAAAAAAAAACCAACATCTAACAAAATACAGACCTCTGCTGAAAATTATAAAACAGAGAAATTAAAGACCTAAATATAGGACAATATGACATGTTTTATGCATTGAAAGACTCCATGTGCTAAAAATGCTAGTTCTCCCAGAGCAATCAAAATTTAACACACTTTTTAGCAAAATTCCAGGTAGAGCCAGGCATGGCTGGCTTATAACTGGCTCTGGGAGCCTGAGGTAAAGATGCAACTTCAGGCCCAGCTTGGGCAGTGTAGCCCAGTGTGCAGATCCTAAGTTGAGTCCCCAGTACCGTGAAAGAAAAAAAAAATTCCAGCAAAAAATTTTTTTGAAGAAATAGACAAGGTTATTCTGAAATATATGTAGAAACACAAACGAATTAACATAGCTAACAATTTTCGAATTGAAGAATGAAGTGAGAAGAAATCAGTCTGATGTTAAGACTGATAGCATAGCTCCAGTAATCAAGATGGTTTGTTGTTGATGGGCATATGAAAATAGACAACCCCCAAAACAGACAGACACACACGCGCACACACACAATTAATTTTAGGAAATGTCACAAAGCAGTACATGGAGGAAAGAGAATCTTAAGTGGTGCTAAAATAATTGTATATCTGTGGTCTTTAAAAAATCCTAAACTTCATACCACATACAGTATATGAATTCAGATGGAACATAGATTAAATACAAAACATGCACTAGAGGTATAGCTCAGTGGTAGGGCATCTGCTTAGCATGTGTGAGGTCCTGTGTTCAATCCTGGCACCAAAGTAAATAAATTCTTTAATGTAAAACATGACACTTGCAGCAGAAAATAGAGGGGTCAGGGATGTAGGTCAGTGGCACAAGTGCCTGCCTGGCAAGCATGAGTCCTGAGTTCAATTCCCGGTACCAAAAAATAAAAAAATCAATAGAAGAAAATAGAACATTTTCAGGACCTATTGTTAGGCAGAGTTATTAACTGTGACACCAAAGCCCACAATCACTAAATTGAAAAAAATAAATTGGATTTCACCAGTTAAAAACTTTTGAAAGACTGTTAAAAGAAGGTTAGAAAGACAAGGTGTAGAGTGGGAAAAAATATTAGCAAAGTACAAGTTATTATTATTTAGAAATAATAGGGGCTTTTTTTTTTTTTTTTTTGGTATTGGGAGTTGAACTCAGGACCTTGTGCTTGCCAGGCAGGCACTGTGCCGCTAAGCTATCTCCCCAGCCCTTAAGGCACTTTCAAAGTAACAGTAATTCAAAGATCCAATTAGAAATAAACAATAGGTGTGAATATGTAACAAAGTGAAGTTACAGATGGCAAATAAGACCTGGAAAAGATGTTTGCCATCATTATCTATTAGGAACAACCAAGTTAAAAGCATAGTAAAGTATTACACATTGGTAAGAACAACTGAAATTTAAAAATCGTGTTAATACCAAGTGTGTTCTAGGAGACAGAGAAACTGAATGATTCATACATTGTTGGTGGGAATGAAAAGCAGTACACCTGCTCTGGAGATACAGTGTTAGGATTTGGGGCTTCATTTTCCAAGGGAACACAATATAATATAGGACACATATTTATATGATTATTTATAATAGTCACCCAAAGAATGATATACAAAAGAGTGCAGGAAATCTGTCCACACAATAAAGACCAAGGAAACTAGCTGAGGGCCTGGATCCCACAGAAATGTCCTGCATAGTCCAGCTGAAGACCTGGAGCTCAGAACAGTGCCTCCCACAAATCCAGCTAGAGGCTCAGAGCCCACAACGTATCTCATGCAGGCCTGTTTCATGGATCTGTGCTGGAAGGCCCAAAGGTCAATGGTGGACTCTAGGAAGTCTGTGCCAGCGAGATGACAGATCTGTGCTAGCAGACTGAGGGATATGCACTGGAGCCAGGAAGCGACACTTAGAAGAACCAGACCTCCCCCAAAAAGATACCACAGCCATCCTCAGCAACAGTGAGGTCCTGAGCTCCTCTGATGATCAAGATGGCCAAGTTCCCATCAGGGAAGCCAACGCAGCAAGCTTCTCCAGGAGACTGGCTGTGTAC